AGAATAGAGAGACTCTGCAATACTTTGCTGTTTGACTGGCTGTGCGAGTGGCGGGTTCCTTTGGCGACCATATTGATTCTGCTGTGTGAGCTAACCTTCAGGACATGCCAAAGCACATTCTCATTCCTTTCTGTCAGAACACACACATTTAACCGAGTAGTGCACCTCTTAATATCTGGTAAGAAATCTCAGAATGCTGCAGCTATATTCATCAAATTAAAATCGACACAAAAAATACCACTTAAAATAAGTGGCTAAATTTAAAGTACAACCAATAATAAATTACATTCAAAAACAGAATTTTAGCCATGAGCTACCGCACTCAAGCAACGTTACTGATTCAAGGAAAAACGCAAGGCTCTCTAATTCCCAAAACAAAGACGGAAACCACAACAAAACAAAAACAAACAAATAGTATCGAAAAATCTGCCGCTGTAATCACATTAGTTCCCAGATGCCAGGCCACCTAGACTAAAATCGACAGCAAATGCAATTATCTGAATACTGCTCTGACCATAAGGGAAACAATGTTATCAGGTGTTATAGACCTGCCATATGACAGTAAACACCTCAAAATCACATGAATCGATCTACGATGCACTGTTGTTCAAGTTTATTCCAAAACGCCAATGAAAGAGTAATACGCCTGCTACCCCAGTAGGGTCACGTCAAATTGATACCTTGTTAATGCATTCAAGATCTCGACTGGAAATGTTTCAAAGTTGAGCAACTTGATGCCAACGATTAAGGAAAACAGAGTAGTGGTAAGAGGAGACGAGTAAACATCAAACTCTTACGAGTGATAGACGGCGGTGGAGGCGGCGGCATCATGGACTTTGCAAGTGGAGCAGAAGAGGGAACGTCAGTGGCCAGGGCCACAGTGGAAATCGAGGGGAAGGTCAAGTCGGCCCCAGTTGCCTCACTCAACATATCAGTCGCTACAATGGATTTGGGTTTGACCTTCGGAACATCCACCTCCTTTGGATGCGGCTGATAATGCCGGCATGTGCGTTTGTGCGCCTGACGCGAAGAATGGACCTTTTGTGCATTATTTTTGAATTTGGACCTACAACCAAACATTCATTTAAAGTAGGGCACGACCTCAACTATCAAATTCATAAGAGGTAAACTAAATCATTATTCAGCAAAACAGCTCGAAGGAAAAACGCTTCTACAAAAATGGTGGCGACTCATATAACTGAGATGTGATGACGCCCTTCCGTCACCGTCAAGACGACAGTAACACAAGTGAGATCAACGTTCAGCTGTGAAAAGCGAACATCTCAACGCTAACCATCGCAGACACGACCGCTAAGATGGTTGTAAGAAATAAGCGTTGACATCATCATCGTTCAGAAAAGATCACTTGAAATGGCGAAAATATAACTCGCTAAGATGCCTATGCGCGAGAAGCATCACACTTAAAAACGACGCTGGAAACTGATAGTCTTACATTATCAAACATGATAATTCCAACAAAATAAACTTACTGTTTCGACCGCACAGAGGGCAAAGGAGCAATGGTTGATGGTTCATAATTGGCAAGATCCAAATGATTTACCGCTCTACGAAGGGCCAAAGAGGCATCAAATATCTGAGAAGGAGGACTGAATGTCGCTAGTCCGAAAGGACGTCGAGAAACTACGTCAGTGTTCCCATCAGTAAACTGAGAATCAGCAACTGAGGTAACGTGTTCCTGTTTAATGTCCGGAAACTGATCAGGTGATCCACCAGCCGCGGTGCCGCTCGTCAGTGTTTTCGCCGACTGCGAATTTGCATCAACTAAAAGTATATCGAACATGGTAGGAACCTATAAATGAGCAAAAAATAACAGCTACAGAGGGATTATTCCTACCTGTGCTTGAAATGAG